ACATTCGATGTAGGTTTTTCGTCGCCTGCTTTTGGAGACATTACTTTCTTACTATGCCTCGTTTACACTATGTTCAGGTGTGACAGTGCCCCCCTATTATTTCTGGTAAAATTATTGACTAAATTGATGGTTCATCTTATTCTCATATAGAAAGAGGTAAAAGAAATTTCTGGAAAAACATTGTCTTCCAACTTCAACTGAACTGTTGCCTAATGGATAGTACTTTCGTGGCAATAACAGGGAACCGTTGGGAGGTGGGACCAAATGACGAATCTTCTCATCCAACTAGACCATTTTCATAATTAAATATAAGTAAGGTCTGGAGAGAGGAGAGAAAAAAGGAAAAAGGTATAACTAAATCCCTTGATTGAAGACACTAATAATGGATTGAGAGTCTTTTAAGGTGAAATGTATATAATTTATAAGTAATCCTTATTTAGGGCGGGTAACATATAAAATTAGAATAATTTTGGTAAATAAGTTTCAAATATTGTATAGGAACGAAAAAATCCCTTAAAATTTTGTGTTCAAGCCTATTATTTGTTAGAATTTTAATAAACTTTTATTCATAAATTTATACACCGCGTCAAAAGTATTGAGTTCAGATGAACCCGGGTCTATGGGATTGCATACGCCCTCTGTAGCTGATCACCTACTACTATCTCTTGGTTTAATATTTTCCTATATATTTTTGTTTGAGAAGATAACATTAATTCAATTCAAGAGCCGCCTATGCAAATTAACCATGGGGTCGTTTGGTTGTCGGTTAGAGTTATGCAGGTATTAGTTGAACATGTATTAGTTATGCATGTATTAGTTATGTATGTATTAGTTATGCAGGAATAAGTAATGCGGGGATTAGTTATGCATGGATAAGTTATGCAAAGTTGAGTTATGTTGGGATTAGTTATGCATGAATTAGTTATGCAGGGATTAGTATAAGGATTGGTAATATAAATGTAATATGAGTGTTATTTATTATTAGCTTACTTTATTTTATTAAAATTGTTAGTATAGTTTAAATATATATTTTAAACAAAAAAATATAAGTTTGAATAAAGGGTATTCTTGTCTTTTTGTGTTTTAATATAAGTATTACTAATACATGTATATGTTATTCCACCTTCTACCCTGCATAAATAATATATAGATTCTCTCATAACTTATACATGTATTTTACATAGTTATGCGGAAAAGAAAAACATGAATCAAACATTGTATTAGTAATGCTACATTTTACGTGAAAAAGAGGAAAAAACAACCAAACATTGTATAACTTATGCTAGCTTCTATGTGGATATTATTTTTTCCCCTTCTTTTAACCAAACAATGTATAAAGTTATCCTAGTTTTAATACATGGATAACTCCTCTCAAACCGGCTACCAAACGACCCCTAAGTGGTTAGCAATAGAAGCTGCTTAAGGAGATACATAACTTTAAAGTGGGTTTGCTAACGAAGGGCTAATTTATTGGAACTTACGAGAGGGATTATAATCTAGCGGGTGTTTGCTTTTTTGGATTATTTAACAAAAATTACACTTTTCGAAATTAATCTGAACTTTTCTATATTATAGTAGGAGTATACATTTTCTTCTAAATGAATTTAATCGCATTTTCTTGAATAGGACAGAACATACAAATAATTCAAATTTTGACCCAAATAGTTTGGGATTCAGCGCAACTGATTAATTAAGTGGTGGAGTATTTGATAAAATCGTGTTGTAACTGTCAATATGGTAATTGGTTCTACTTGTAAATGGTCTTTTGCTTACTTAATTCTATGAAGCAAGAGGTCACGACATGAAATGCAGTGTTACAAATTCGAATCTTATATCTTATTTATTTATTCTTATTTTTTTGAGTTTCTACCCCACAAAAAAGGAGTTTTTGAGTTTTCGCAACATTTAAAAGCTAAGCTTGAAAATTTCAAATAAATAAAATAGTACTCAACAGATTACCTACTTTGTAAAACCACAAACAATCACTTTTAACAAAACTATGGAAACTCTATTTTGGCAAAACTTAAAAACAACAATCATCTTAGTGGCTCTACCATCCAGACTTCCAGTTATTTTTCCCCATTAATTAAGTGAAAAAAATAAAACATATGAAAAGCCAAAAGAAATGAAAAAAGAAACAAAATTAAGGAGACAAAGGGTTTGTGTCTTAGAGACTATTTTAAATCATGTGAACTTGGACATATGTCAGCCCATACCTACCGCAAGCTAGTCTTGTCGTCGCTAACCATATTCTTTGCCCTGGTAACCAAATTCATAGAACAAGCAAAGATTTCTAATTTCTGGCCTTTTGCATAGCAACAAAAACCAGGAAAATCAAAATGATGTTGTATAGTTTTTTATTTTAATTAGTCATTGGATTCCTTTGGTTGCACTTTGTACATCAGAATGTGGACTCGAGGAAAGGCTTCTTGAGTGGATAATTTGAAGATCAAGTCAATAACATCAAATGTTATTATTTGATCATACGTCTTTTTCATTTGTGTATGCATCATATAACAAAATTAAATTATCTATAATAAAATAATCAATTTTACTTTTAGTTTGATATCCATCAAAAAGATGTTACAATAAATCGATAACAATAACAACAATCCAGTGAAATTCACAAATGGGATTTAGAGAGGGTAATGTGTACGCGGACCTTACATCTACCCTAAGAAGATAGAAAGACTGTTTCCAGAGGATCCTTCGCTCCAGAGGAAGAATAGATCCATCAAAAAGATGTTGCAGTTCAAAAATCCTATAACATGGGGACTATATGACTATAATAGGCTACTCTAGTACTTACTGCAAAAATAGGTTGTTTCTAGCACATTGAACCAAAATTGTTTGAAGTCCGAAGTTATGCTTGGTCAATTCCTAACTTCAGACTCGAAGGAGTGAAGTTGAAACTTCAGACCTGAGGTCTCAACTTTCAAGTTTGATTTCGAAATGGTTAAATTTTAAATAATTTGTAAATTTCGACTATATCCTAAATAACATTCCTTCAAGCGGCTATCTGTGCACTTGGCCCGAATATTTTGGTAGTCTTTCTGCTTGATGAAAAAATGGTCCTTTTATATTTAAGTGAAAGAAGCCAATATGAAATACATGCATAGAAGAATTAAACTAAATATCCCCTCACTCGACCACTTAAACTAAAAATAGTCGGCGAATGTATGATATATTTAAAATTCATATATAGTATGTGTATAATCCATGCAATCAATATATAATCTAGGGAAAAGGGTCAAATATACCCCTCTACTTTCATATATTGTCTACATTTAACCTCTATTATATTATCGGGCCAAATTTACCCCTACAATCAGCAAACTTTAAAAAGTTATCCCTTGATCCGTTAAGTAATCCAAAATCTCCCAAATTCCTTTTATTTAAATTATTTGTTGTTCTTCTTGGTCCACTATTTTTGAAATAATAGGTATTTACCTGCTTTCTGAATTAGAAAAAAAATATTAAATAATACAATCGAATAAACAAAGTATAGTAAATTGAAAAATCTAAATTAGGTAACTTTTCTAAATTCTAAAAGTACTTACAACATCCCAATTTTAATGAATTCGTTGCACCAAATGTATAGAATCTTTGCAAGTATTAGTGATTGAAGTTGAAGTTCCCTCGGAGACTTTACATTGTCGAATTCAACTTTGCTTTAATTAAATGCCTAGACATTATGCACTCTTAAGTTAGTCGATCGAACTCTATACTAACTAGGCAATGACAAAATATATTTGAATATACATGTACATACATGATGATCAACTGCATATAATACACAATAAATAGACCCACTAAATTCTACGGTGTGTATATGATTGAAAAATAAATAAATTTTAAACCAATTTATTTATTACAAGAAGAAAAATAGGTGCATTGGTAATTTAAAAAAAATTATGAATAATTGTTATAGTCTAATAACTTTAGCATTCACATCAATAGTAATTTTTGAAAATAATGGAGCAAGAAGAACAACAAGTTATTTAAATAAAAGAAATTTGGGAGATTTTGAATTACATAAAAGATCAAGGGATAATTTTTTAAAGTTTGCTGATTGTAGGGATAAATTTGGCCCGATAGTATTACAGTAGGGGTAAATTTGACCCGATAGTATAGCGAAAGTTAAATGTAGATAATATATGAAAGTAGAGGGGTATATTTGGCCCTTTTCCCTATAATCTATATATACATGCTAGAAAATATAAATAATAATTCTGACCGACTATTTGTGTAAATATCCCTAATACACAAAAGAAGAATTAACCCAAATAGCTACCCACATAATCTCTTAAACTAAAAATAGTCGACATATGTGTAATGTATATATAATTTATGTATAATATATATATAATTATATATAATTAATGTATAATTTGTGTATACTGACTATAAAAAATAAATATTGCATCTGGCCGGCTATATGTGTAACAATCCCAATACAAAGTCAGGCCCATATTTGAGCTAGACAAGTAAGACCCGTTTACATCCGAATGGACGGGCAATATGAGAAATGATCTGCAAAAGAGCCAACAAGTCTCTACCTGTGGGATGAACAAGAAAATGATCAAATTGTCCCAAAGTGATGGTTTCCCCAAATTCCATAACAGGTTAAGACTAGCTTAAATCTAGGAGAGGCCCCTTGTGGCTAAGAAATATGTAAGTTGGATATGGCTTCTATGGCTGGTAGTATAGAATAGGATGGCTAAAGTAACAATGTTTTCCCACTTGAATTCATACGTTTGTTACTTACATTTTAGTGCACAAAATTTAAATTATTTTAGTGACACAATTATGCTAAATTTGAATTTATTACCATAAATTAAGCAATGAGCGCGAATGTATTCCAAATGCACATATACTTAATATTTTAAACACTCCTTAATCGTTGGTTAACTTTAATAACACCTGTAAAAAAGAAAGGGATATGAAATATGAGTAAGCTGGCGCCACAACGACCAGAATATTTATCCAAAATTCTCCCACCACCCAAACACCATCCCCCTCTCCAGACAAAAACATTCACAACTTTTTGAGAGAGAGTGTGTGTGTGTGTGCGCGCGCGCGCAGACGGAGGGCAGCTGCAATGGCAATGGCTATAGCTCTTCGGAGGCTTTCCTCTACAGTTGACAAACCTGTTAAGCGTCTCTACAATATTGGTGGCTCTCTCTATTACATGGTTCGTCTTTGTTCAGTAGTAGTATTAGTTTTTTCCTTAAGTTAATTTCTCTTAACTTTGGTCAGTTTGTTGTTGCCTTGTTGAATTAATTCGTGTCGTTGTTGTTGTTGCAGTCATCTTTGCCAAATGAAGCTGTCTACGACAAGGAAAAATCTGGAGTCTCCGTAAGCTCGTGATGAATTTGAATTAGTGTGTTATTTGAACTTATACTCGTCCCTTTTGATTTCTGACTTGAAAGCCTTAATATTTTCAGTGGCCAAAGCAACTGAATGCCCCGCTGGAGGTTGTTGATCCTGAGATTGCTGACATTATTGAGCTTGAGAAAGCTCGCCAATGGAAGGTTCTATCTTTTTCTTGTTCTTTTTCTTTTTTTGTCCATCTCTTGCTCCCTGAAATTTTGTTGAATTACCTGTATCGATATAATTTGATAACTTTACGTGATCGGTCTTAGAGCTTCGTCTTATATTGGAGCACTGCACCCCCAACCTCCCCTGAAAAGAAAGAAAGAAAGAAAGAAAGAAAGGAAGGAAGGAAGGAAGTCCTCGGAAAAAAAAACTTATGTCAGATTGTAGCAAATTAGAAAACTTATCAAGTACATAATATTTATGAAGCCGTGCCAAAAATGATGTTTCGATTTCATCAAATTGAAGATAAACAAGTCTATATGAAATGCCTTTCAGATAACTTTTTATTATAACAATGGTATTTGGGTTGGATTTCACGCATCTCAACTATTTCATAGAATAGTTGTTACCTTCCACCAGCATGACTATTGAGTAACTCTGTACACCTAGGCTTAGGCAGATAAAAAAAATCACCTAGTGTTTCTGTTTCAACTGAGATTTGAACCCTGGTCTAGGTGCAAATGCCTTTCAGATTACTTTGTGGGGAGTTCCAGTGCTGAAATTAATTAACTTATCAATCTCCTGTTAAGAATTCTTTATCAGAAAAAAAAAGAAAAGTTAAGAATAATTATGTCTCATTCCTTTTACTCTTCTTATCTCATATAGTTTCCATTTGTGGTAATTGTCTTTCTTTTGTTTAAGATGCATAGAATCAGTTCGATTTGGAAGTTAAATTCCTTACCAGAGTTCAAAATGCTTTCTTTAGGGGCTCGAACTCATTCCTTCAGAAAATTTCACTTCCCTTTCGGTGATGCAAGCAGTTGGATCAGTTATGACTAACAAGTATAGTGAAGGATATCCTGGTGCCAGATACTATGGAGGAAATGAGTACGCAGAATATTTGCTAATTTTCATTCTCCTAATTCTTTTGTAATTAACCTGTATTTTCATGTTATATATCAGCTTCAGATATCCTTTTCCTGTTATGAGAGAATGAGTGGCTGTCCAGGTACATAGACATGGCAGAAACTTTATGCCAAAAACGTGCTTTGGAAGCATTCAGGTTGGATCCTGCAAAGTGGGGAGGTAATAGATTTCGTTCATTTTGGGGCGTATTTCATCACCTAAATAGTGCTGGTAATAAAAGTACTCTTCCTTAATTAACCTTTATTATTGCAGTGAATGTGCAGCCTCTATCAGGATCACCTGCTAATTTTCATGTTTACACTGCATTATTAAAACCTCATGAACGGATCATGGCTCTTGATCTTCCTCATGGTGGACATCTTTCTCATGGATATCAGGTGCTTCTATATTTTGTTGTTTCTCGTTCTAAATGACTGGTATTCTGGTTATTGAGAACCAGTAACTTTGCTTAAAAAAAAGTGTAAACACTTAAAGAAGCTTGTGCTAGTGGTTTGTGGTGTAAATACTGTACTCCTTCCTGGGTCCTTGGTAATGGGAATTTGCTGTTATCTGGGCTTCTATGAGGTGCATTTGTTATATTACATCTTCTGCTTTATCATTCTTGCGGATGAGGAATTTCTCTAGGATTTAGGCGAACACCACAAATTTCATCTGATATTGAGTAAGGGACAGTTTAAACTGAAATGCTGTTAAACAATCTTATATATCTGTGTATGCAATTTTTATCAGGTTGGTTCATACATTGCATTGATCTTTGTTAGTTAATTCATTAGTGATGCTTTGCCACTTAAAAAGACCGAACTTTTCTGCTTTAAGGTCATGCATGATCTTAAATCTGGAAGTTGTAAAAATTGAATTAAATGAAGTTCGATGCATGTCAATTGATGCATATATGAGTGCATGTACCTGTTATGTTCATACATGCTGTACATAGCTCGAGGTGGAATCGGCTTATTTCTTGTCAAAACTTGATTTCTTCTTTCTAGTGCAATTATTGTATGGTTTCAATTTGATTACATTATAAAGGGGTTGTCTTATGTTATGTTTGATTATCACAGACTGATACGAAGAAGATATCCGCAGTCTCTATATTCTTTGAGACAATGCCATACAGACTCAATGAGAGCACTGGCTATATTGACTATGACCAGGTAGTCTCTTATTTCTTATTATAGTTCTTTTCATTTGACTCGTACCCTTTACCCTCTCCTTTTAAATGGTGCACTTGTGTAATCATATTCAACATTGTAAATCCAGCTTCTTTTTAAGAGTTCCTTATCTTTCGAAGCAATAGTCATGCTGAGGCACAAAGCATTTTATAACATGATGAAAAGTAAAACTAATGTAATGTGATGACAGAAGGTCCATCATTGATTAAGTGTAAAGATGTCCAGATAACTGTTCATTAGTATGAGACAATATGTTGGAGCTGGCATTGCCTCCATTATTACATTTTTCAGATTATTTTGAAGTTTCTTTTACTTCTTATAACTGATTTTTCATCTGGTTATGTTAGCAAGTGTAAAAGAAATTTATATGTTTATTCAGATGATAAGTACTATTGAAGGCTGATCTACTTTACTTCGTGCTTGGGATGTTAGATTCTTATTAACGAGTACCTGTTCTTTTTGAACATTTTGTGACTTTTGATTTTTCTACGCAGCTTGAGAAAAGTGCCACACTCTTTAGGCCAAAATTAATTGTTGCTGGTGCTAGTGCCTATGCACGTCTTTACGACTATGAACGAATCCGGAAGGTAAAATTTACTTCACCATTATGCAATATTTACATCAACTTAATAAATTTTAGAGAAGGCATTTGACTTGTGCCTTTTTGCATATCTTACAGGTCTGCGACAAACAGAAAGCTATTTTGTTAGCAGATATGGCACACATTAGTGGATTAGTTGCAGCTGGAGTCATCCCCTCACCATTTGATTATGCTGATGTTGTCACTACCACAACCCACAAGTCCCTTCGTGGGCCTCGTGGTGCTATGATTTTCTTCAGGAAGGGTGTTAAAGAGGTTAACAAGCAAGGCAAGGAGGTTAGTCTTAACTGTCACCTCACCATCGCATCTCTTAATATTTAACCAGCTTTTTAGGACTCTAATCTAGTTGCTGGCTAAATCTGAGATACATATCGCGTACTAGCTAGTGTTGAAACTAATAGCCTAATTATATTATGTTAATTCTGAAGGTTTTGTACGACTATGAAGACAAAATCAATCAGGCAGTCTTTCCTGGACTTCAAGGGGGTCCTCACAATCACACCATTACTGGCTTGGCAGTTGCCTTGAAACAGGTATGATATCCTTACAACAGCATTTTTTTATGCTTTTTAATTGTATAGCCACTGGCTAAGTTCTTACTCGTCATTTAGGGATATTCCTGAATAAAATATCCCAGTGTCCTAGCTGATGAAATAAGCTTTTTGCGATTTAAGAACTGAAGGGTTTTGACCTTAGTTCAGGAAACGATTTTGTGAAACAAACAGAATATACTTATTGCCCCGGAATTTTACTATAAACACCTGCAGATAGCACTTTTGATGTCTTATTAAATCTTAATTTTTTTTCTCTGGGTGTGTAAAACTTATGGATTACATAGAGCAGCTAGTCGAGGACTGCAAACTAAAGCTGGAAAAGGTTTTAAAACATACATGAATGTCATTTATGTATTACTGTATTCAAAGTGTTCTGAGAGGTTTTGGAAGAACGATCTCTCTAGCCAATGGAAATTCTTCTTACTCCTTATTGGCCTCAACACTTTCTGAAATAGCTTCAGTAACTCAAAATGCTTTCCATTTTTCTCTTTAGTATTTCTTAGGCAAATGTGGAAACTGTTGTGATGGTACTATTTCTCATTATGCTTCTAATACTACTAAATGCAGGCAATCACTCCAGAATACAGAGCTTACCAAGAGCAAGTCCTCAGCAACTGCTCAAAATTTGCCCAGGTAAGAGTCAATGAGATATGCAGTTCCCGATAGGAGCATATTAGTGAAATCTGTAGTTTATTTTCAGTAATCCATAACTTATGGTTGAGTCATTATCTCAATAATATTGATTTCTTCATTGCTGCTGCATATTTTTCAACCTTGCAGGCTTTAATGGAGAATGGTTATGAACTTGTCTCTGGAGGAACCGAGAATCACTTGGTTTTGGTGAACCTGAAAAACAAGGTGAAGTATGAACTCTTAGGACAAGGGAGAAACCTTCCTCTGTGAGGACTAGTAAATTTAACAAATGCTTTTGATGAATTAACAAAATAAGCAATACAATAACCGGTAAAGTTGCTACTATATGACCAGGAGTTCGCGGGTTCGAGCCATGGAAACAGCCTCTTGCAGAAGTGCAGGGTAAGACTGCTACAATAGCCCCTTCTGGTCCGGCCCTTCCCCGGACCCCGCGCATAGCGGGAGCTTAGTGCACCGGGCTGCCATTTAAACAATACAGTTATTGCAATGAGCTCTTAGAAAGATCATACGAGGCATTAGTGAATGAGCTTGCTGCATGTTATGTAGTGGCATCTGTTATGTGTTATCGCGAGAGAAATAGTACACCACAAATATTGAGCCTTGTACTTTTACAGGGTATTGATGGTTCCAGGGTTGAGAAAATCTTGGAAGCTGTACATATTGCAGCCAACAAGAACACTGTTCCTGGAGATGTATCTGCCATGGTCCCCGGTGGCATCAGGATGGGTAAGACACCTCTCTATGATATTATCTTCCAATTAGTTATTATTCTTTGTACACAAACTTGATAAAGCTGTTGTAAATCAGGAACTCCTGCACTCACTTCTCGGGGATTTGTTGAGGAAGATTTTGTGAAAGTTGCTGAATTCTTTGATGCTGCCGTGAAGCTAGCAGTGAAAGTAAAGGCTGAAACTCAAGGTATGTAAGAGTAATGAGTATTGGTTATAACACGTTTATGTTCTATCCACTTGTTGGGAATAAACCATCACAGAAATAATATTCACAGTACTAAAAGCGGAATAATAATATAGCACCGAGATACGGTAATTAACAAGAATAAAAGAGTGACAATGACACCAAGATTTTTACGTGGAAAACCCTTTTGAATAAGGAAAAAAACCACGGCCCCGAGACGGGCAACTAATATTACTATAGCAAGGAATTTTACACTTTGTAGGTCCGAGTAAAATATTCCAAAGACCACTACAACACTCAAAAGTAATAACCTCTTTTGATATTCTTACTTCACTACAATATCGCTCACTTTCTATTTTCCTCTACACAGTCTATTTCTCACAATGCCTGAGAAATACTCTCTGCAACTATTGTGTTGCTTTTCTTTCTGTGTGTTGAAATGAAGAAGCCGAAACTCTCCTTTTATAGGAGAAATAGCCTACCTCTTCAACCAATCAGAATGAAGGATTGGTTGAAAATTTGCAATGTAATTTTTTTCTTTCTTCCGCCGAAGAATTTTGACATTTTCCTTCTTCAGCCTACCTTATTTGACAATAAGGAAGAAAAGATGGCTGTCAATCAATTTCTTCCTTAATTTATGGGATGGACTACCCCTCCAGTCCCATTCACCTGAAAGAGGTAGCAGTGTCTTCTAGTTTGAGTGCATGCCGACAAGTTCTTTGCATAGCTCGTACTTGTCTCTTGGTACCACCTTGGTCAACATATCAGCAGGATTTTCACTCGTGTGAATCTTTTTGACCTGTAAAGATTCGTTCTCCACCTGCTCACGAATCCAATGATATCTCACATCTATATGCTTTGTTCTTGCATGGTACATGGAGTTCTTGCTCAAATCTATTACACTTTGACTGTCACAATAGACGACATACTTCTTTTGATGCAATTCCAGCTCTTGAAGAAACCGCTTGAGCCATACCATCTCCTTGCCAGCTTTTGTAGCGGCAATGTACTCTGCTGCAGTTGTTGAAAGTGCAACACACTTCTGCAATTTAGACTGCCATGATATAGCTCACCCTGAAAATGTAAACAAATATCCAGTAGTGGATTTTCTGTTATCAATGTCACCTGCCATATCAGCATCTGTATAGCCCTTCAAGATTGGATGAGATCCTCCAAAGCACAAACAATCTCCTGTGGTACCTCTCAGGTACCTGAGTATCCACTTGACTGCTTCCCAATGTTCTTTTCCAGAATTTTCAAGGAATCTGCTAACAACACCAACTGCATGAACAATATCAGGTCGGGTACATACCATTGCATACATCAAGCTTCCGACTGCTGAAAAATAAGGAACTCTAGCCATGTTCCCTTTCTCCTCCACACTTGTAGGACACATCTTTTTCCTCAACTTTAGATGGCTAGCAAGAGGTGTGCTGACTGGCTTAGCATTCTTCATGTTGAAGCGTTCCAGTACACGTTCAATGTACTTCTCCTGAGACAGCCACAACTTTTTGCTTGTTCGCTCTCGAACTATCTTCATACCCAGAATTTGTTGTGCTGGGCCCAAGTCCTTCATATCAAATGACTTGGACAAATCTCCCTTCAACTTTGCGATCAGACCTTTGTCTTTTCCTACAATTAACATGTCATCTACATACAATAATAATATAATAAAGTTATTTTCAGAAAATATTTTGAAGTATACACATAGATCAAAATATGTCATTGTGTACGTTTGACTTTTCATGAATGAGTCAAACTTCTTGTACTACTGCCGTGGTGCCTGCTTCAACCCATAAAGACTCTTATTCAGTTTGCACACCATGTGTTTCCTTTCAGCTACTTTAAATCCTTTTGGCTGCTTCATATAGATCTCCTCTTCCAAATCTCCGTGAAGAAATGTAGTTTTCACGTCCAACTGCTCCACTTCAATATCTAGGCTAGCTACTAAGCTCAAGATTGTTTGAATAGAAGTCATTTTGACAACATGTGAGAAAATTTCGTCAAAATTAATACCTTTATTCTGCTCGAAGCCTTTTACCACCAATCGAGCTTTGTATCTGACCAGCTTGCCATTTCCATCTTTCTTGAGTTTAAAGACCCACTTATATTTGAGTGGTCTTTTACCCTTTTGAAGTTCAACTAGCTTGTAAGTGCCATTTTTCTACAAAGATTCCATCTCCTCTTGCATGGCTTTCATCCACTGGTTCTTTTCTGGATGGGACATCACCTCCTTAAGACTTTCTGGCTCCCCCTCATCACTGATGAGGATATACTCCATGGAAGGGTACCTACATGACTCTACCCCTGGCCTTTCTGATCTCCTCAGAGGTTGAGGTTGTTTTTCTCCCTGAGTGGGGTGATCCACTTGCTCGATATCATCATTAAGTTGCTTCCCCTGCTCAATAACCTTACCAGGTTGCTCCCCCTGCTCGGAAATCTTGTCGGTCGTACTTTCTGCACTTGTGGGATTGTTAGAAGTAGAAGGAATAGTAACAAGGTTAGGAATAATACCATTTTTGGCCTTCTCTGGCACATCATTAGCAGTTCCAACTTCACTTTCTCGGAAGACTACATCTTTGCTTCTGATGACTTTCTTCTTTACGGGATCCCACAATCTGTATCCTAATTCTTCATTTCCATATCCGATGAATATGCAAGGAACAAATTTATCATCCAGCTTTGTTCTCTGCTCCTTTGGTACATGTGCAAAAGCTTTGCAACCGAACACCTTCACATGCGAGTATGACACCTCCTTGTTGGTCCAAACTCTCTCTGGGATGTCAAACGCCAACAGAACTGATGGACTCCTATTGATCAGGTAACAGGCTGTCTGAACTGCTTCACCCCAGAATGACTTACGAAGTTTAGCCATTCTGAGCATGCTTCTCACCTTCTCCATAATGGTTCGGTTCATCCTTTCGGCTACGCCATTGTGTTGTGGGGTTCCAGGAATTGTCTTTTCATGTCTGATCCCATGGCTCGAACAATACTCTTCAAATTCCCTTGAAGTGTACTCACCTCCATTATCACTTCGGAGACATTTTAGCTTTTGGCCTGTCTCCCTTTCCACCATAGCATAAAACTTCTGGAAAACTTGAAACACCTGATCTTTGGTTTTCAAAATATAAACCCATAATTTTCGTGAAGCATCATCAATAAAAGTAATAAAATAATTGTTACCGCCCATCGATTCAATTACCATTGGACCACAAACATCAGAATATACCAAATCAAGTATATTCAATTTTCTTTCAGACGATGTCTGAAATGAGACTCTATACTGCTTACCAAATAAACAATAGTCACAGGGTTTTACCGTTGTACCTTTGGCATAAGAAAATCTCTTCTCGCTCATATGACCCATTCTTTTGTGCCACAAATCTGTAGAAATCTCATCTTGTGCCGCGTTCAATTCACCTTGGCGTATTTCTGCATTTGTCCTGTACAACGTGCATGAGAAACTCCCTTTGCAATCACCAATGATCCCTTGGTGAGTCTCTACTTTTGATTTACAAAATAATTCTCGTATCCATCTCGGTCTAAAACAATTCCCGAGATCAAGTTCATCCGCAAATCAGGTACATGTCGCATGTCTTTCAGAACCAATGTGCATCCGACATTTGTCTTGTTACAAATGTCACCAATCCCCGCAATCTTTGAGTAACTTGTGTTACCCATTCTCACAAGGCCGAAATCACCTACTACATATCTGCAAAAAAGATCTCTTACCGGTGTGGCACGGTAAGATGCTGCTGTATCAACCACCCATTCCGACTCTGGACTTGATAAGTGCATGCATTCCTCTTCCTCGTTTATACATATGACAACATTATCATTGTTTTGCATCATGACGGTTGTGTTGTCGTCATTCTTCTGGCTACTAGTTTTACCTTTGCCCTTCCTTGGATTTGGGCAATCTCTTTTGAACTGACCTGGTTGATCACAATTGTAGCAATTTCTAGCTCTTGATTTGGATCGGTTCTTAGACTTCCCACGAGCTCCGAATCTACCATAGTTACTCGAACTCCTTTGATAACTCCTGCCTCTACCTTCTGTGATGAGAGCATGTACTTGATTTTCAGGCTTCTTTCTCATCTTCTCATTGAGTAAAAGAGCCGATGTGACATCTTTTAACTCAATGATAGTCTTACCGTGCAGGATGTTTGTTGCCAGATTATCATACGAAGATGGCAACGAGTTCAACAACAAGATGACTTTATCTTCTTCCTCGATTTTCACTCAGAGATTGGCGAGCTGTGTGATTAGTCCGTTAAACACATTTAAATGTGACAAAAAATTCGTACATTCACCCATGTGTAGGGCGTATAGCTGCTTCTTTAGGTACAATTTATTTGTCAGCGTTTTGGATATGTATAGGCTTTCCAACCTTATCTAAATGCCACATGCGGTGTCTTCATCAATGATGTTATTTACCACATCATCTGATAAGTGTAGCCTGATTGCACTAACAGCTCTTTCATCCAAGTCAGCCTAATCCTCAGCTTTCATGGTATCAGGCATTATGGTATCAGCATCTAGTACTTTGTGTAATCCTTGTTGGATGAGCAGATCTCTCATCCTTCTTTGCCATATTTTTGCTACCTCGTACTTTACTCCGGACATTTTTATTTTCCATCGAGTATAGTACTACCGACAGTGAATAGTATTTCTGTGAACGAGCAGAACTTGTGCTCTGATACCAGTTGTTGAGAATAAACCCCCACATAAATAATATTCACGGTACTAAAAGCGGAATAATAATGTAGTACCGAGATACGTTAATTAATAAGAATAAAAGAGTAACAACGATACCAAAATTTTTACGTGGAAAACCCTTTTGAATAAGGAAAAAAACCACGGCCCCGAGACGAGCAACTAATATCACTATAGCAAGGAATTTTACAATTTGTAGGTGAGAAAATATTCCAAAGATCACTACAACACTCAAAAGAAATAACCCTCTTTTGATATTTCCATATCACTACAATATCACTCACTCTTTATTTTTCTCTACACAATCTATTTCTCACAATGTCTGAGAAATACTCTCTGCAACTATTGTGTTGCTTTTCCTTTTGTGTTTTGAAATGAAGAAGCCGAAACTCTCCTTTTATAGGAGAAATAGCCTACCTCTTCAACCAATCAGAATGAAGGATTGCGCAAATTTTTTCTTTTTTCCGCCGAAAAAGTTTGACATTTTTCTTCTTCAACCTACCTTATTTGACAATAAGGAAGAAAAGATGACTGCCAATCAATTTCTTCTTTAATTTATGGGATGTACCCACACCACTCACGGTGTAGTTAAATTGAGCCCACAACAATAGGAACTCTCCATATTAAGTTTGATATGGTAACCTGGAAAATAAAGTAATAACCAGTTAATTTTTACTGATAATGTAAACGTTCTTAACACCGTATAACTTAAATCTCATAAAACAATACCTTGTCTATACATGTCCATCTGATTTGTTAGGTATACATGAGTTCCAAAGTATTTGCCGTTTCCTTTTATTATCACTCTTTTAGTTCTTTACAGGAAGAGACTTAGATTTTGGTACCACAAATGCTTTCCTCATTTGACTTTTTGTTTTTTAAATACGAACTCCTTTCACAGTCACCATAATATCATCCAATTGTATCAGGGACAAAGTTGAAAGACTTTGTAGCAACACTACAATCCAGTGCTCCAATCAAATCTGAAATTGCAAAACTCCGTCATGATGTGGAGGAGTATGCTAAGCAATTCCCTACGATTGGGTTTGAAAAAGAAACAATGAAGTACAAAAACTAAGAGTACATACACAAGGTACGTCATTTAGGGATACTTTGTTTAGTCATGAACTGTGTCCTTTGACTGTGATGAGCCATATAGCAACTGAAGCTTATAAAAATATATTATGGCACTTCATATCAGATAGACTATGATGTGAAAGCATAACGATCATTTTCAATGCTTTGAGTGATTTTATTAGCATAATAATATGGATCTCAAACTTGTTCAAGTTGGTTTTGCTTGAGAAGTAGTTTGCATCAGATTTCTGTTACTGCACGTATGGATAAAATTCTATTGCCGTCACAAACAGGAAAACTGTTGAATGCTATATCTTTTTTTAGGGAAATACGTCTCAGGTGATAATTTCCCTTATCCTTACGCATTATTTTGTTCTCCTTTTCTTTCAAAGAAAACGATAATGTATACAGATATATGCGACTCATATTATTTTTTGTAGATAGATAATAAATGTAAATATACCACACAATTAATCAGAATAAACTTAATGATTATATAACACTTCCATCCAAAGTTTCCAACAAATAGATGACTAGATGACAGATTTGGTTATGAAGTTCCAGACCATTCAGGAACACGTTTGAATCTAAATACAGCTTATAAGCTGATCAGAAATTGACCAACTGATATATAATTCGGTCATTTTGTTGTAACACGGTTAAAATGTTGAATCTTGTTGGTGTGCTTGTCACGATTCAGATTTACTCCTTTCTATACCTATTGAATGTGGTTCTTTCCTTGCTCTTCATATTCAATTGCGGCTCATTTGTTTTCTTTTCACGTATGTGGTTTGCGTTATTCGTGTAACAGGCACCTGATATCTGACTTCAGAAATGTGAAAGGCAAAGAAAATCCAGCCATGGCTTGCTTTCAAGTACATGATTCTCATGCTTATGTATGTAAAAGTCCAGCAGATGTTGGTTCCCATGTATGCCAATTTGTATATTAAACACTTACAATCCAACAGAGGTCTCCTTGAAGCAATAAACTCTTGAGTTCTGTTCATTTACAAGTGGGATTATGTTATCTCAATTCTCAATGCTCTGCTTCATTATGTTACTACAACGACTTGCAACAAACCCATGAAATTATGTTACTACCTCGACTGTGAATGAAAAGTAATCTAGTTTGAGTTCACATCAGAATTTAGATAGATCTGTACTTCAAAGCTAACTTAATATTGTTTTTGGGACGGAGAATTATGGTACCGTGACTATTATCCCGCATCAAAACGAGAGGAGTGCCTTGAACAACTTATAAGTTAACTCTTTTTTTCTCTCTTTTAAGACAAACAATGATATCACCACATTCCTAACATATTTTTGGCACCTATAAGTTTCCTCTCATGTCTCACCTTCAAGACATGTTTAAGATTACCTCCTTCCCTATGTTTAAAAGAAGTTGGACAGAAGATCGAAGTGGTATTTAAGTTGGGACTCAAATCAGCATGAACTTAAGTTTAAATGAAAATAGGTCCAAAAATATAGGTAAAGTTGAGTTTTTGAGTAATTCAAATATTGTTAGAAGTACAGTATATTTCAAAGAACCTTTTTATAATTGAATAATGAAGAAAGAGTAGGAAAAAATTTCTGACATTAAGAAAGTAAATAGTACAATTATCTGATAATGTAAAATAGAAAATAAGGCAGTTTAATTCTGGAAACGAGTACTTCCCAACAATCAAGCAAGCCTTAAAGTAATAGGCTAGATATCTGTAGATATTAATCTATCACATCTGTTTATCATGGGTCTATACAAGTACCAGAGTTTTAACGTTATTCAAACTTGGACAAAAAGGAAACGGAAAAAAGAGATGAAGTATAGTAGGATAGGGTCACAACGAAGCCGAGCCCAGTACGGCTCTACTCCTACTCCGTCCCTTATTATTATTCTTATTCTTATGCTAATGGCGACTCGCTTTTCCTTATCTCGTTCAGCTCACTTTTGCTTAAAACCCCCTTCTTCTTTTCGCCGTCCATTAACCAAAAATATACTTCAGTGCCGTTCTTGTCCCCTTTGGTCCTCCTCTTTCTCTCTCTGTCTTCACTCTCTCCCCAAGTCAACACTCCCTTCTCCTCATCACCGTCGCAAACCCATCGCCGTCCGATCATTTTGTCCCGCGCCGGGATCAATTTCCGATCATCCTACTAAAATGACGACTGCTACTTCCGATGACAATCCTCTTTTGAAGGACTTTTATTTCCCACCCTTCGATTCAATCGAGGCCAAGCACGTTCGTCCCGGAATTCGTGCTTTGCTCAAACAAGTCGTATGTTTCTTTCTTTTTCTCTCTTTTGGATCCGAAAGAAAGCGCGTGGGAATTAGTAATATGGCGCGTTAAATTTGTGTTTTTTTGTTTTGTTTTTGTGAATTGCGTGCAGGATGAGGATTTAGAAGCTTTGGAGAAGACGGTGGAGCCCACCTGGCCGAAGCTGGTGGAGCCGTTGGAGAAGATTGTTGATAGATTGACGGTTGTTTGGGGTGTCGTGAATCATCTCAAGTCTGTTAAAGATAATCCCGATCTTCGTTCCGCTATTGAAGAAGTTCAGGTTCGTTATTTAAGGGCCTACTTCTTTTGGACTATGATCTTTAATTTCTTTTTGTGTCTATAGAGTGTAAAGATAGTGTCCTTTTCATTCAATCAACTCAAGATGGTCTTTTTCGTTTTACATGTTAAATTTATAGCTTTAGTCTTATCTCTGTAGATTTACAGCTTGTTTGGATGGTTGTTGTATATGGTTCATAATGTATTGTATTTCATTGTACTAACAGCCTCTCTACCTTCATTAGTTAGGGATAAGGTTTGCGTACACATTAACCTCCCCGGACCCCACTTGTGGGATATCACTGGGCTTGTTGTTGTTGTTGTTGTATATTGTTTTGATGAATAAGCTACAATATTACAAAGAAATAATAGGATACAAGATAAAATTATTATATAAAAAGGTAGGGTACGTGTAAAATAGGATTATTTAACACGTAATAAGTAAGGGCAAGGTGAGAAAAAAAGGTAAGACGCTCCACCAAATCGGTCATTACATATAATGATATATATGGAACTTTTCATCGTTACATAAACAATCAAAACAAACGTAGTAACAATACGACAAAACACAACAGGTAACAACCATCAAAACAAGCTGTTAAATTTTACTAATTTGTATTATAGATTTTGCCTTGCACCTCTGGCTCCATAAAAAAAAAGCAGAGAAGAGTTTTAATCCCTTTATTTAAACTGCAAGGAATACTAACCAGAATTGTTTGCTGGATAGATGATGATATCTTCAGTAGGACACCACACTTTCTCCATGATTTAACCAACTATAAATCTTTTTATGTACAATGTTTGATGCTAGAAATTTGTCTCACTTCAGGATACACATGTTCCTTTTTTCTTATTGCTTACGTATACTACTACTCTCCTCCTGTGCAGCATAAATATTATTTTCTTTTCGTGTAGCCGGAAAAAGTTGCTTTTTCGCTTAAATTGGGTCAGAGCAAGCCAATCTATAATGCATTCAAAGCCATACGGGAGTCTCCTGATTGGGAGTCTTTGAGTGATGCTCGTAAACGAATAGTTGACTGTAAGTTCATGAAAATCTTTCCTTTAATCTGTCGAAATTTGGGAGGCGTCTTTTAGCATGAAAATCTATTTACTTCCATTAGCTGTCTGTCTATGACTCTAAATTTTAGTTTTAATATTCTTGTAATGTATCACGAGGTCTGTCTGCCAATTTTTTGGTAGTTGTGCTGAATCTGCCAAGGTTATTGTTCATCTGGTGAAGTTGAGAACTGTACATTATTATCTTGTATGTACAATAATTTCTTCCCAACATCCATGACGAAGAAGAGAGTCACCATGGGTGAAGTTTCTGTTATCGCCGTGCATTTATATGTGTTAGAATTTGCTGTAGTTGTTCTTATTGGTCACAGGATTCCATTAAACATGAACCGTTCCCCGCGCACAAGAAAAAGAAAAAGAAGATTCCCAACTCCCATCCCCAAAAAAGGGAAACCATATTTTTACTGTTTAAGAGTATCAACTAACTTCTTACCTTCTTTTGAGGTCATTCCCATGAGTGTATTTTTGTCAACCGCAAACTAATGTTTTAGATCATCGTCTCACACTCTTCTTCCTGCTCGTTCAGCGCAAATAAAGGAGGCTGTACTAAGTGGTATCGCTCTTGAGGATGATAAAAGAGAGCAATTTAACAAGATTGAACAGGTATCTATTGTGTCTTGTTGAGCCTAGCTTTCTCATTGTTCTATACTCCGGAAATGTCTCTTCTAAAATGTACTGTTAACAAGTGGAAAAATTTAATGGACTGGAATTGGAGGAATCTATCTACAGGTCATGGATTTTAGATATATGTTCGAAGTTACTTATACAGCCCTCTGATTATGTTGTGACTGTTTTTCTATTTTCTCTGGTTTCTTCTTTTTTGGGTGGTGGGTCGGTACCTCGCCTGCCAAGGGAGAGGAGAAAAAGGTGCAAAACTCTTGGGTTTGACCTTATCTTCTTTTTCGGGTGGTTGGGTTAGTACTTCGCCTGCCAAGGGAGGGGAGAGCAAGGTGCAAAACAGTCAGACCGTTGTTGTGCAGCTAAGGCTGAATTTTCAATTCACTATCTTGCTTTTGACCTTATCTTCCTTTTGCAGGAATTAGCAAAGCTATCTCAGAAATTTGGGGAGAATGTTTTGGATGCCACCAAGAAGTTCGAAAAATTAATAACTGATAAGAAAGATATTGAGGGATTGCCTGCCACCTCTCTTGGTTTAGCTGCACAGACAGCAGTGTCTAAGGTAATACGGAAGCTCTCTTCGTGTATGTTTGACAATTGAATTATCATTAGTTACCTTTTCTCTTATGCGCTTTTTGCTGCCCATAACCGATAACAGGGGCATGAAAAAGCTACTGCAGAAGATGGGCCATGGATAATCACATTGGATGCGCCAAGTTATATGTCTGTCATGCAACATGCAAAGAATAGAACTCTAAGAGAGGAGGTTTACCGTGTGTATATAAACCGTGCTTCTGATGGAGACCTTGATAACACTGGGATAATTGACCAAATTCTTAAGCTTAGGTTGGAAAAGGCTAAGCTCCTTGGATACAATAACTATGCTGAGGTATACATTTTTACTTTCGAACTCACAATACCATCTATGTTTTTTTGTCCCCAAAAAAAGGCCATCTATGTTTTTTAAATTTCTTTTCCTTTTTGAAGATTAAAATTGTTTATGTATATAGGTAAGCATGGCAATGAAAATGGCCACTGTTGATAAAGCTGAAGAGCTTTTAGAAAAGCTTCGCAGTGCTTCTTGGGATCCTGCAGTCAAAGGTAGGGCCTGCAAAATCATCTCAATGGTATTTGAGATGTAAAGTAAACTCGGCCTTTGTTATCAGTTTTAATCTTTTTGTTTTTTAATATTTGGCTCTATCAGTTCCGAGCTTTCCTTTTTAGTCTTCAGTTGGTAGACATGAGGTAAAATAGACAAGTTCTGATAGGTGATAGATCTTTATAAACAGGTTGCTTCTTCTTTTCTTGTTTTACCTGTCTTGAAAACAAGATGATACCACCTAACCACCTTGTTCTTTGTGCTTTTGATATGAATCACTTTTCTTCTTTCTCTTCTTTCCTTAATGCAATCAAATCAACTGGTTGACCTCTCTTAGCTGGCAGTTTTTTGAGTTCACAAGCTTTTCCCTTGATCTTTGTAGATTTGGAAGACCTGAAAGAGTTTTGTAAAAGTCAAGGTGCTCCAGAAGCTGATGATTTGAACCATTGGGATATTACTTTCTGGAGTGAGAGGCTTCGTGAATTTAAGTATGAG